GAGGCTATAGAATGCAAAACCACCTAGAAGCTGCTGCTCACCCTTCCAGTGCCAACCACAGCGGGCACCTCCCCCTTTGTGGGGACCTTGGAACTTTGCAGCTTTGCTGGCGCATGACCCACTTCTCTGGGAGGCCACAGCGCTGCAAATGCTCTGCTGTACAGGTGTGTGTTACCTGAGAGGTTCAGCCAGATGGGAACAGGTAGCTCTGCCATACAGGATGGCACCAGACTCCCCAGTCACTGTGGGTACCTCCTTCTGCCCATGGTGGTGGCAGGACTATCACTGCAGGTGCACCCCCATGCCCAGAGACACAGCAGGGCTCTTACTTCTTGCTGCCAGGCTGTAAGCACTGTCGCAGCATCCGCCCAGGCACAGTGCTCAGCTTCTGCATTCTGGTGAGGGACTGGGCTGTTGCTGCAGCCCTCCACCATCCCATGCACTTGCAAACTCAGTGGTTCTTGACTCCCTGGGCAAGACATCAAGCCTGCACCCTTTCCAGCAGCTGTGCCCATCACAGCAGTTTCAGAAGGCTGTAAACTGCAGAAGACTCAGGCAGACCTCCCCTGGAGCCCTGCGTCCAGCTCTGGAGCCCTCAGCACAAGAAGGACATGGACCTGTTGGAGCGGGGCCAGAGGAGGGCTACTAAAATGCTCCGAGGGCTGGAGCACCTCTGCTATAAGGCCAGGCTGAGAGAGTTGGGGGTGTTCAGCCTGGAGAAGAGAAGGCTGCGGGCAGAGCTGAGTGCGGCCTTTCAGTACCTAAAGGGGGCCCATAGGAAAGGTGGGGACAATCTTTTTAGTAGGGCCAGCTGTGACAGGACAAGGGGTAATGGTTTTAAACTAAAACAGGGTAGGTTTAGACTAGATATAAGGAAGAAATTCTTTACAATAAGGGTGGTGAGGCACTGGTACGGGTTGCCCAGAGAGGTGGGGGAGGCCCCATCCCTGGAAACATTCCAGGCCAGGTTGGACGGGGCTGTGAGCAACCTGATCTGGTTCAAGGTGTCCCTGCTCCTGCAGGGGGGTTGGGCTGGGTGACCTCTAGGGGTCCCTTCCAACCCAAAACATTCTATGATTCTATGATCGCCTCCAGCCCTGCATGACATGCAGTGGCAGCACTGCCAGCCCAGCCTAATCCCAAGGCATTGGAGGGCAGTCTGGTGGGGGATACCCACCCTATTCCTCACTGTGCCCTGGGGCAAAATACCCTCATCTGGGCAGGTACAGCATCTATATACATGCACACACAGAACAGGGTCCACTTATAACGTAGGCACAGCAGCTGCCTCAGCAGAGCATCTATCCCAAAACATGCCCATATCCTTCACTCCCACACTAGGAGCAATGCCTGTCCCCATGCTGCATTCACACTGAAGCAACATCCCAGTCTGAGGGGACTGGAAAGCCTGGCTACAGTTAGCCGCTGTGGGTGGGACTGCACCTGATCAGCCTGAGCTGCACATAGGCTACAGTTCTGCCAAGGCCAGGACCAGCAGCATGAGGTCCTGGTGGGCTGTCTGGCATCTCTTGCTCTCCCCATGGCCCCTCAGAGGCTGGGGAGATTGCTCATCATACTGGAGTTGCTGGAGAGAGGTGCTCTGGGCCGGGCGTTCAGTGCTACAGAGCTGCGGAAGCTCTCCCGGTAGCGCAGGGAGCTCTCTGTGGATGAGCCAGAGTTGATGTCTGTGATGACCAAGCAGTTCCCAGGCTTGCAAAGCCCAACCCTGACACAGCAGCAACACAGGAGGCTTCCCACAGCACGGCGCACCTCCACGCTCCGGAGGGAGTAAATGATGGGGTTGACACCTGAGTTAAGCATGGCCAGAGCCAAGGTCCAGTCCAGGCTGTGGAGGTGTGTGCAGGACTGGGTCTCACAGAAGACATCAAAGAGCAACAGGACAAAGAGCGGGCTCCAGCAGAGAATGAAGGCACCCAGGATCATCAGCACAGTCTTGAGCAAGCGCAGGGACCGTTTGCGGCTGTGCCGAGAACTGGTTTGCTTAGAACTGGCCTGGACCAGCTGGAAGATGGAGATGTAGAGGCCAATGATCCCCAGGAGGATGATGCTGAACATGACTACGGAGAAAAGGATGTAGTTCTTGGAGTAGAGAGGCAGGAGGACAGAGCAGGCATTGAAGTCGCACAGACAGTTCCAGCCCAGCAGTGGAAGCAGTCCAATGATGAAGGCCAGCAGCCAGCAGGAAATTATCAGGCTGCGTAAGCGTAGGGTCTTGCTGGCTTCATTCTCAGCAATCGGCCTTACCATGGCACTGTAGCGCTCGATGGCAGTCACAAGCAAGCTGAAGGTGGAGGCAGCCAGAGCAATGAAGAGAATGCCTTCCCGCAGGAACCAGAGCTGAGGTGAAAGCTGGAAGGTCTTCTTGCCTGAGAGGCAGAGATTAGAAAGGTAGGCAATCCCTGCAAGCAGGTCGCTCACGGTGATGCTGGCAATGCAGGAGTAGACCCAGCGGCGGGCTCGCAGACACCGCAGGATGGCCAGCAGCACAAGCAGGTTCTCCAGGATGATGATGCAGCTAATAATGGCAAAGGTTGTGTGGATGAGACCCATGCCCTCATCCCCAGACTGCCGGTTGGTCAGCTTGCCTGTGAAGTTGTAGTGCTGCAGGATGATGTTCACATTCCTCGTGGCAACAAGTTGCAGGCAGGAACCTTTCCTGTCGAGCAGGTCAAGCCTGAGCTCAGGATATTGAGCAGAGCCCAGTGGAAGGGGAAGGGAGTGATTCGCCAGCCAGCTCATCTCTGGACCATCCATCTTCTGAGCCTAGGTCAGCAGCCAAGGGATGCACGATAGAGCAAGGGTTGAGGTGGGGTTTGGAGCAGAGCAGACCTTCTTAAGGCTGGGCAACAGCTGTGAGATTCTGCCACACAGGACTGGCTCTGACCCCAGCAGCTCTATCCAGCATGGAGATGAGAGTTAGAGCCCTGTCTGCCAGCCCCGCAACACTGAAAGAGCGAAGGGAGAGGAAGGTGAGGTGTTTTGTAAGTCCACACATGGGCTTCCTGTTGTTTAATAAAGTTTCCTGTTGTGAGCTAGAATATTGACATCGTTTCTGACAGCTGTCATCATTTCTCAGTAAGGGCCTGGCTATTCTCAGCTTTGCTGTGGTTGCAAAGGTGGGACATGAATGAAATAATGTGTCAGGCCCCTCTTTGAGGCTGGGTCAAATGGGGTAATACCTCCCACCTTGATGGGTAGGGTCTGTTGGGCTGGACAAAGCCAAGTGCTAGTTAGAGCACTCGACCAGCCTGAGATGCCGAGTGCTTTGCCTTTTGCAGTGTTAAATTGACCCCTGAGCCTGCCAGAGAGCAACTGCCACTCACCACCTTCCCTGCACACCACCCGTGCCCAGACACATCCTTCTCCAGGAGGAAGCTCCAATGCTGTCTTGCCTCTAGGCTGCTCTGTGGGCCCAGCTCCTGCCGGTCTCTCAGGACGCATCCATCCAAGTCCTGCCCTGTCAGTGCAGCAAGTCCAGGCACCCGTGTGTCTGAAGCTAGGGCTCAGCTCCACCTCGTCCAAAGGAAACCAGCTGGTCAAAGCCCTGCACGTGCCCTGACACCGCACCCTCCGCCTTCAGCTCTCCAAGCACCTGCTACAGATGGGTCAGGATCTTCCCATTGCCTGGGTCAGCGACAGGGGAACAGAGGCACAAAGCTGCGGCCTCTTGCCTGGCATTGCAGAAGATGCAAGGGGCTGCACTGAGACCAGAACCCAGGAATCCCGACATGATTGTAACGTTCATGTCTATCATTGACCTAGTCCCTGCATCCGCAAGACCTGACTGGAGAGAAAGTCTTGCAAGGTGCTATTCCCAACCACAGCTGTTGAATTTGTCTTATGACTCACCCGTCATGGCTGGCGCGAGGCTGTTGCTGCCGGAGGGGGGTTCGGGCAGCTAGCGGTGCTCTCCAGCTTCTTGTCTGAGGCCCAGCACCGAGTAGGTAGCAGGGAGGGCTCCTTGCACAAAATAAATGAGACTTCTACCTACAAAAATGAAAAAAGGGAAGTTACAACATCAACCACATTTCTGTGCAGGATGGACCCCACCCAAAACAGCTGCCAAGAGGCACAGAGAAAAGAAAAACAGCACCTTTCAACTCAGGATCACTACAGAAGCTATGCCCTGCTTTCTGCTTCCACCTGTGTTCTCACTGCAGGCTGGCACAAAGCCATGGTTGAGAGTAAAGAGCGGTGATTTCTTCCATCAGCATGGCAAGCAGGGAGTTGTCCTGGGAGTCCATCCCCTGCTTGATGAGTGGAGAGATCCCAGCCTGGATCACAGCTGGAAAAGGCAAAGGCAGCTCCTGCTGCAGTAAATCATGTGTAAGCGAGAGTGGTTCTCATCAAAAGCTGAGAGCTCCATCCTCCTCATTCACCCTTTCAAGCTGGTGTTTTGGGCTTTTCTATCAGCAGCATGGAAAGAAACTCATGCTGATAAAGTCAGCAGATGACTCCAAGATTGAAGGAGCGGAAATCAGCAGGAAGGCTGGGCCATGACTGCAGCGCAATCCAGAGGAGTGCAAGGGTGCACAGTCAGCACAAAGAGCACACTCCCAGATGAGTTGGGCAGATGCTTCTGGCACAGCGCTGGAATCGAAAGAGTCAATGCGATCCTTGCGCACCACCCCTGCTTTATTCTTGCTTCAGGCTGAGCCTCCAGCTAATGTGTCTGCTCAGGCCAGAACTGGTGGAGCATCCCTAAAAGATCAGAGGATGAAGAGACTTGCCTTGTCAGGAGCCCTAAGCAGCTTCTGAAAAAGCTGTCGGCACGTAAGCTGTCTTAGGAAGGAGATACCCAACAGGCACGAGCTCTTTGTCAGAGACCTGCGGAGAGTGTGGGGCAGGTGGGAGGCAAATGCTTTTGGTGGCAGGAGGGCTTCACAAGCAGCTGGGCCAGCTCAACTCACTCACCCATGGAGTGCCAGGTCCCCTGGACCAGCAAAGTGTCGTTGGCTCTTCCTCATGCCCCTTCCACAAGCACATCAGGTGCTGCCTAAGAGGCAGGGCTGATTGTTTTGTCAAGAGCTGTTCCAGTGAGACAAAACCTTGTTCCTTGCTCTGTCCTAGCTTGTTTGGCCCTTCCACAGCAGAGGGGACTGGGTACCTGTGAGGCATGCTGCAATCTCACGGCATGTCGTGACGGGGGCCGGCTCTGGGGAGCTGCCTGAGCTGTGTCCCAGCCCTTGCTGCTGCCCTTCCAGCACCCTCACGCTTCTGCCCCCCAACCACCCGCAGAGCTCCAAGCCACCGCAACACCTCAAACACTGCGCCCATTCCACGGCAAGTCAGGGCACGGTCCCATAGCCTGGGAGGACTTGGGTCCCCTCCACTCCGTGCAATCAGCCCAGCAGAGCGGGGCCTTGCTGGCTGGCACAAATCCAGCCCCTTCCCCCCCTCAGAGCTGCTGCTGCTGCCTGACCCAAGGCAGGGAGCCCCCACCTCCATGGCTGGGGGCAAACAAGGCTCCCCTTCGGCTGGACACCAGCATGACGGAGAGTTCCTGTTGTTCTGCAGTGGCTCCCCATTGCTATCTGCACAGATGCAGGCTGAGCTTTATCTTGGTACTTCTCCTTTGCTGCCATTTCAGTTCAGATGCTCTTTCTTCGAAATGAAGGGGGGTGGGGGAGGGACACCCCATCCTGCAACATTTCTCATCTCTTTCCTTCAGATCAAGACCACAATCTACTTGAAACTGCCTGATAGCTGCTGAGTGCTGGGCTTGGAAGGACCAGGGGAGGTATGGGGGGGCCTGGTCCCCCTGAACCCTCTGCCAGAGCCTGGCCATGGCAGGTGTTGACAAATGCTGAGATGAGGTGCCTCAGAGGCAGAAGCCCTGGAGCCCTCCACGGCCAGCTGCTACCAAGGCCAACGGGAAGGCAGAAGCCCCTGGGCTCGAGAGGGAAGTTTGTCTGCAGACAGGGACGCCCAGAGAGGAGCAGGGTAGGAGCAGCCTGGAGCCCCGCTCCCTGGGCTTGTGGCCAGTGGCATGCCCAGTCACTCCTGTCCTGCGAGAGCCTGTCCCCAGGAGGGTGTCCAGCTCCAGACTTGGGGGAGGGGGGGGCCACCAGCAGCTGCGGGGGAAAGACAGCAAGCTACAAATGCAAGATAAAATATCGATGAGTTCTGTTGAGGTTTTCCTGCTGTGCTGCTGCACAGTCCTGATTAAAACTTGTACTTTCAGACATTCGAATTAAAAAAAAATCTCTGGGTGAGGGAGCTCTGTGGAGTGCTTGGCCTGGTGGGCCTAGCCAGGCAACCCCCAGGCTGGCTCATGGCCAGCCAGCATCCGCATCTCTGTCCCATAAGGCTCCCTCCCCACCCACCCATCCTGTCCCCGCTGCGTGGCCCCAGCACAGCCCAACATCAGCCAGGGCATCCATTCGCCCGCAGGTGTTTTTCTGCTCCAGGAAGGGTGGAGTTGTGCCGGTTTAAAAAAATGACTGATCGCTGCTGGCAGTTGGTTGGTTGCGTTTCCTAGCCTTGGTCTCTTCTACTGTGTGGTCATCTTTCCAGTGGCACATCCCAGTCCCCAACGTGGCAGGATGATGCTTCTGGCCCCAGAGGAGCTGGGAAGAGCCAGAAAAGCCCCTCTGACCTGGGCTGACACCAAAACCTGGAGACCTGGCCCTTCACAGTGCTCAAAGAATTGTCCCAGTTGTTGCACCTGGGCATCAGTTCATTGAAATTGGGTGGTGGTGATGGTGGGGCTCTGTAGGAAAAGTCTCCACAGTGCATCTCTGGATCTGAAAGAATACAAGAACATGAAAGTTTCAGGACCATCTCCTTTAAACCACATTAATGACCTTAAATGGCAATGTTTTGTTCTTTAAGTGGCTTTTCTTTAGAAACTTACATTTCCTCAATGCCAAAACATTACGCAGAAAGCAAACAGCTGCATAAAATGCCCCTCTCCAAGCCCCCCCCCCCCCAAAAAAAAAAATACTTGGAAGTCAGCCCAACAAAACACATCATCAGTGGGCCAGCCCAGACCCTGTCTCCCATGGTGTCACACCTTTCCCTCCCCTGCGACAGGTTTGAGATTTTTGACCTTTTGGCTGCTCTGCGGTGAAAGGCACTGAGCGTTTCCCGTGCTCAGCGCCTGCAGGCCAGGAGCTTTATAGGCGCTCATCCCTCAGCACTCCTCCAGAGTGAGCACGCCGCAAATGCAAACTCCTGAGTCTTGCTGCTTCCTTACAGTCTGGCATTTGACGTAGCTCCTGATAGCCACTGGCAATTGCCAGCGAAGTGATCCCTCCCCTCCCTGGGGCTGAAGTTTGGCCTGGGGGCCCAGAGGGGCTGGAGAAGCTGGACCAGCTCAGTGTCTGGTCTCCAAACACCATGCCCAGCACCGGCTCTCCTACCGTGCCTGGGACAAGCTCAACTTTCCCCTGGCATCTTCTGTCCTGTAACCACATCTCCGGTGAGCAGACACGTCCCTGGGAGGGAGGGAGCTGCACGGTGCGGTCCCCACTCCACGTGGCATGGCCAGCCACTGCCTGCATGGTGTCACCATGGCCATGAGGCTGCTCCAATGACCTGGCTGGAGCCTCTGGCCTCGGGTGCCCTGTGCAGGACCCATGAAATCCCTCATGCGAGCTTATTGACACCACGTTGCAGTGCACTCTGGGGCAGGGACTAGCTCCATGCCAGACTTGTCACCATAGCTTCGCAGCTGGGAGCGTTTCCTCCCATGTTCATGCGGGGATGGCAAGGAGGAACCAGTCCCCTCAGCCAGGAAACGGGCCAGGCAGGGCTCAGCATAAACAGCGGGGTGATGCCCGCGCGAGGGGGAGCTGGCAGGGGTGTGGTGCCAAGCACCACACAGAGGAAATCTGGTTTGAAACCTAATCTGAGCCCTGCAGAGGAAGGACGAGCAGCACACCTCCCTGTGGTTAGCGCTGCCTGGCCGGGGCACGGGCAATGCAATTACTGGCAGCAGGGCTGGTGCTGCTGCACTGTGTCGGGAGAGCGTAAACGTATTCCCAGCTCTGCTGCTCGCTGTCCTGTGCATCACTTCCCCCACCCACTGTTTCTCCTCCCTGCTTGGCATGTGTAAGAATACGAAGCGGTTTGGGCAGAGAACTGTGGTCTGGTTTCTGCTGCCTGCAGCAGAGCCTGGCCCTGGTGCCGCCGACCCGCTGGCTGCTACAGAGCTCGGCAAACCCAAACGGCCCTGGGCATCTGAGCTCAGAGCTCTCAGCTCAGCACCACGGGGATCAAGGAGAAGGCAAGACCTCTGCACAAGGTTCCTGCAGGGTACAGACCCATGGCGAGAGCTGCTGCTCACAGAGAGAAACCGGGGACCCAAGTGCAGCGGGAGCCCTGTCATTTGGGAGTAAGGTTTTTAATCAAACAAAAGTCCTGATGCCCAAGGGCTAGCATGCAGGATAGTCCATGCTCCCAGAACTCTCTGCCCAAGTTAGTGCAGCCCTACCATGAACCCAGTGGCTCTTCTGATGTGCTGGAGACGGCTCTGGGCAGCAAGAGAGGGATATATTTATCTGTTGGTTTGTTTATACCCACACACATACGCTGATTTTATTTCTAGGAACTGTTTCAGGGGTTTTCCATTCTCATACTGCAGATCTCCCTCAAATGCCCTCCTCCCAGCAATGCAGACTAACTGGCAGATCAACCCACTGCCTCCCTGGTGCCCTCCTGGGACACTTGCCCTCTCAGCTTGCCCGAATGCCCCCAGCATAGGTACCCTGCTGTCAGCTTGCCCAGAGTCCCCCAGCCTCGAGCCCTGGCTGGGGACAATGGGGACTGGCTCAAGTAGACAGGGAAGGAAGGGCTGAGAACCCTCCAGACGCAGGTTCTGCCTCTCTGAGCAGGGTGCCAGAGGGCATCTTATCCGAGATGGCAACATCAACCCAGCAGCAGCTCGCCAGGCATGCTGCAGGCAGAGGCAACAACAGCACCCAAGCCCCCTATACCAGGCCCTGCAGCATTGCCCACGCAGGGCACGTCTGCCACAAAGCAGCACCCTTGCTGCATGCCAAAGGTGGTTTTTGAACAGGTCTTCCTCCTGAGCCACCCTCCTTTGCTGGGAGCCTTGGAGCCGTATGTGCTTTTTAACTTGAAATCAC